GGGGGGGGGAAATAGCCTTGAAATTTAAAAATCACTTTAAGCCCAGTGATTCTTAAAAGATCTACCAAACTTCTCCCAAAAACATGGTACTAGTTCTGCGGTCCTTAACTGGAAATTGACAAACGCTCTTCTTAACTGGAAATTGACATACACTTCAATGAGAAGAAATTTCTTTATGTAGTCATTTGGAAGGCTTTTGATTTTGCCCAAAAGGGGGGAAAGGATTTCTAATCAGTATTACTCGTTAAAGCCTATCACCTTCTCGGACACTGTAACAAGGGTTGGATCCCACAGAGGATTTCAACGGACGGGAGGGAGGGTGATTTTAATTCCCCCTCACTGCCGAGCTCATGCCGCTACAGAGAATCTCCTGTTTCCCACGTGCAGTGTGTGTGTGGGGGGGCTTTTTAAACTGCAATGGGAGGGAGGAGGCAAGGAAGTCACGCTCCCCTTATTGAAATCTTTTCTTCAGTGGAAATTCTGAGGGGTGTGTGTGTGTTCCAAGTCTCTCAATTACATTTATAGTATAGGCAAACATGCAAATCTGATCAGTATGAAAACCAGAATCAGCTGGTATAAACCTGTTCTACCTGGTGAGTCCGTCTCCACCCCCTGACACCATTTATCCAGTTTGTCAAATAATCTATACGTCATGCTGGCCTATTTGTTATTCTGGCCTTCTACCAAGAGGCTTAGGGTATTGGACATGTTCCTTCCCTCCTCTTTTTCATCTTCACAATAATCTTGTGAGGTAGTTCAGGCAAACACAGAGCGAGGCGACCACAGCAGAGTGGGGGTCGAAACCCAGGTCAATCCCAGGACACTCAGATCCCTATACCGCTCTGGCTATAATCACTACACAGCACGTGATGAAATACAAAGCACATTGCCAAGTCATTAGAAATATTTCCAAACTGACCACCTTTCCTCTCCTTTCCTCCGATAAGCACTCTATGATGCATAGATCTTGAGCAGTGAATAGTTATTGTTAATCTTTTTTTTACCCAATAGACTAAAGGAATGAAAAATAATGCAACTGCTTGGGTTTTTTGGCAGGGTTGTCAACTAGAGATGTGGCTGTGTCATAGGAAAATAGATCAAAGCAGACCGACAAACATGGTGAAATATAGTGTTTCTTATAACAGATTCTCCTGCCAACCTTGCAGTTCGAAAGCAAGAAATTGCAAGTAGATAAATAGGTACCACTTAGGTGGGAAGGTAACAGCATTCCGTGCGCCTTGGTGTTTAGTCATGCTGGCCACATGACCACGGAAACGTCTTTGGACAGCGCTGGCTCTTCGGCTTTGAAACGGAGATGAGCACCGCAACCCTAGAGTCGGACTCGACTGGCTTTCGAGCAAGGGAACCTTATAGCAGATTCAGGTGGGGTAGCCCTGTTGGTCTGAAGCAATAGAACAAAGTTTGAGTCCAGTGGCACCTTTAAGACCAACAAAGTTTGATTTTGGGTATAAGCTTTTGTGTGCATGCACACTTCTTCAGAATTAAACAGTGTGCATGCACCTGAAAGCTTATACCCCAAAATCAAACTTTATTGGTCTTACAGGTGCCCCACTGGACTCAAACTTTGTACTATTGCTTCAGACCAGCTTTGTTCCAGTGTTTCCTAAGGTTAATGTAGAAAGGATACTCTAGAGAGAATGCTTTCATTGGCTTAGCCCAAAAACCTGCCGAAGCCCTTACAGACTCTTCAGGGCCAGTTAAATCCG